CACTATTTGAAATTCTCTCATAAGTGAAATTCAAATGAGTATGAAAAAACCCACCATCCATCTACTGAGAAATACATATTTGCAAACCTATAATGCTTCTAGCATTTCACAATTATGCTTAGCAATAACAGAATACATGCTTAATGATCCAACACCATGAATTATGGCAAGAATTACATAAATACAGTATTTGAGTTTTGAAGTGGTCAGAATGAAATGCACAATAAGTGGGCACTTTATTTAAAATGGATTTATAGTTACTTATATTACTGACTTTTTTCAAGTTCTCCTGTTTCTTTTTTTGAATCCCAAAACCTTAATACTCAGTGTAGGAGAACTGTCAAGCCCTTAAATTTTGGATATATAAGTCCTACACAAATTAACACCTTGGGCTTTAGAGTAACATCCAGATAAACCCCTCAGACACTTCCAACTTGGATGTCAGAATACCTAAAAATTAGGCATCTGGCCCCAAAAGGATGCTTCAAAGCAGCAAGGTTAGGTGCTAAGCTTCCCATACAGTTAATGGGAAGAGGTAGGCACTGCTGAAGAGCAGGGACAATTCTAGACACTGAGCAGGGAGGAATCTAGAACTAGTCAATAGGAAATGCTATGGCCACAGGATATCTGAACTCTTGCACCTCTCTGGAGTTTAGGTGCTTGACTCAGGTCTGTATAGTAGGTGCCCACTTAGGAAAACTGGGTGCTCCTCTTCAAGTTGGTGTACGGTGGTGCCACCTCTGCCCACCTCTTAAGTAGCAATCTTGTGGTTTGATCACTTAGCCTGAGGGGATTTACTTTCCTGGACAACTGGGCAACTGAGACACACAATTTCCTGGACAACTGAGCCCCAACAACTAAGCCACATAATTTATGTATGTGTATATAGGTGGGGTGGTACAGGCCTTTACACCTCCCTTTGAAGTTCAGCCACTGTGCAACCAAAAAATACAAAAAGCCTTCAAATCGGAGCAAGAAAGTGAATGAAACTGCAAATACAAGCAAGAGGTAGCCTGAAGCCCAATGCTGAGGTCCTGCTAGGGAAAGAGAGTCCTAGGGTCCAGTCTCTGCTTCCAAGGTTACTTCTGTTCTTTAATGAATGATTGTCTAGTGTAAAAGGCACAGATAGCACTGGGATTAGGGACTGGAATTAAGTACGTCCGCCTCATCAGCAAGTGTCCTTTATCAGATGACTACGGAGCCATACTTTAACTCAGTGATTCTTAACCTTATCACACTCAAGCCCCAACTTGTTAGACTCAAAGCCCCCTTTGGAAAATATTCACTTTTGGCTTTCATTTGTTTCTTGACTATGGAAAAATAATAGAGCAATTCTGCTGTTGAAGGAACTCAGACTGCAGCAGATTGGAAAGTTTTTGACATTATAGAAACCTATTAGTGATCTCTGGGTTTATTCTGTGAATCATGTATGTGTTTGCACACCTAATAGTTGCTTGGCAGCCTGCTGCATTCTTGAAATGATCTCATGGAAGCACTCTAGTTGAGAATTACTGTTATAACTTGAGACTATTATACAAAAGGTGTACAAAAGACCTCCTTTAGTCATTTTTTTAAAACAAAAGTGGTTAAGGCTGCTATGCACTGTACTAAACACAATACTGATGGAAATTTGGTATGCTTTGAGTGCACCTAATAGATCCAGACTCTCTGGGAACCTTACTGTTCTGTAGGGCTGTGCAAAGCTTCAGTCCCCAATTCAATTCGGTGGAGATTCGGCTGAATTCAGTGGCCAAATCTCTGAATCAGAATCAAATCAGAGGACCCTTTAATTTCTCCAAATCAAACTGTAACCCTCCGAATCGATTCGGAAAGATTTGGTGATTTGGACACAGACACAGCTTTAAGTGTTTTTTCTACATATCTCAAGGTACCAGGTGGTTTGGGAATGCTGAGATGGTGGTGTGGCTAGAGCTTCCCACCAGAGCATGGGGGAGGGTCCCCAGCATGCTCAGTAGCAGACCTGGAAGTGGACCAGAAGTGCTTCTGGGTCTACCGGGGAGCTTGCAAGGGGGCCCTCCACGCCCTCCTGGCTTGGTGACTGGTGCCTTCTGGGTCTGGGGGACCACCCAGGGTCCCCCCATGGTCAATCGCAGAGCCGGCATGCTCAGCAGCTGACCTGGAAGTGGATCAGAAATGGTACTTCCGGTTCACTTCCGGGTTCACTGCCAAGCACGTGGGAAGCCACCCCCATGCTCCTGTGGGATGCTCCATTTACCCCACCATCGCAGCACTCATGAGCTGTGCCTCGAAATATGTAGAAAACATATTGAAAGCTGTGTCTATGGCTGAATCACTGATTCGCCAAATCAGCATCAAATCTTCAAATTTGGATTCAGTCAAACTGAATCAGGGACAGTGATCTGAATCAATGAATCGAATCACTGTCCTCAATTCAGGCTGAATCTGAACTGAATATGTCCCATTTCGGACACCCCTACTAATTAGGCAACTCCACAGTAAACATCTTTTGTAGATGTGCCCTGCTTCTGGTTTAGTCAGCCCTAAGCAGAGAAGCATCTAGAAAGATGTTACTCTGTACAATAAGTTTACTGTACACGGCTGCATAGTACTCTGCAATGCCCCCCTTTAATACCACTGCGACTTTTCCCTTTTCTTGTATTAAATAGCTACTACATTTGTCCTTCTTAGGTCTACCTTATATGTATACTGGAACTTCTCAGTTACTGCAGCGTTGGGGTCCTAAAGTTTGTTTATTATTAGCACTGGGAATAGCGTGTGCGCGCGTGTGCGTGAGAAAGAGAGAGAGAGAGAGAGAGAGATGAAAGCCATCGTATATAAAAAACACACACACACGACTATGATGGCTTTCATATGGTCTCTCCCCCGCTCCCAGCATGGAGGTGATGAGCCCAGCACAGCTGTTTGCAGCCTGCCCACTGCTTGGTGCAGCTGCCCCAAGCCCAGGCTGGCTACAAACAGCTGCACCGGGCTCATCACCTCTGTGCCAGGAGTGGGGGAGAGACCAGGGCTGCGCTGCCTCAGGCCCCTCCCCCACTGCCCGCGCCAGTGCGGAGCTGATGCCGGAGCCTGGCACAGCTGTTTGGAGCCTCTTGACTGCAGCTGGCCCCAGCTCTGAGGAGCTGCGGCCAGCTGGGTTCCTGGGCTGCTCCCAGCAGGCAGCTGGGATGCTGCAAGCCCTGCTAGGAGCAACTGGGGCTCCGTCGCTGGCAGCAGCTACCTGGAGCTGGGGCTGGCAGCAGTGTGCCAAGCAAAATACATGCTAAACATAACATGCTTTAAATATGCAAAGGCTAGAATTGTTATACTGGATTACATGCTTAGTCTAGTATTCTGTGTCCAACAGAAGCCAACACCAGACACTTCACAGGAAGGTGCAAAGAACCTCACAGGAGGAAGATCATGACATAATTTGTCCTCCATCGAGGTTTCATTCTAATCTCTAATACCCTGAAACATGGTTTTAAAACCCTTATAAAATTTCTGTTAGCACTATTATAACTCTAGAAAATGTTAAGATAATATATCAACTACTCTGTATGATGTAATATTTTAATTCTAGGCCATAATGCGTCAGTTTTCTAATAATTAAGGATGAGGGAATTTTAATGGGAGATTCCATATTAGCACACTTTAAAAAAAAACAAAACAGGACACACAAATCAATTTCCATAGGAGAAAAATCTGGTGTTCAGATATTTACTTTGTCTAGAATGCTCAATACTTTCTTTTCTGAAAGTGAAAATATTTGTTTTAATATGAAATCACTAATTCAGTGAAATCTGAATTATGTTACTAAATATTGTTGTCATGAAAAGAAAAAGAATCATATAGATGACATGATATAATTGAAAGATTGGCTAAAAAAGAGAGGATAGTCTGATTATAGGGTTATGGTCCCAAGGGCTAGCTTTTTCTTTAGGAATCTATGTAATTCACAGCCTCTGGCCCAATACATGAGAACAGGGAGAAAACAGACACAAAAAATAACTTTTTAAAAAAAATGAAAGAGGAATGAGCATGTCTATATATGCTATATTGTAAAGTTTTCCTCACTACAAAAATACTCATTTAAATATATAAATTATTCAAGAACTTTAAGAAAGTGTGTAAAATCAGGGGACAGTCATGAAATAGAACTTTTATTGGAAAGTAAATAAAGATATTGCCAGCTTGAAAACAATTCTGACTTACATGTCTTGACTGAATTGTATTCCTTAATTCCATTTTTTTGTTTCTTTCACATTCTTTTTCTCCCACAAGAAATGGCCATGTTATGACTACTGTTACTATATATTGGGAATATTAACTTTTCTGGATGACTAGAACACATATCAGGGAGTCAGGAAAACTCATGTTTAATTTGGATTTTCCTCCTAACTTCTTGTGTGATTGTGTGGTAAGTAATAACCTGTTTACTGGTCTCAAAAATGGAGATAATATGACTTTGGCCACCTTTGCAAACCATGTTGAGATTCTTCATGCAAAGTACTATATAAATAATGATGATGTTGATAATTTGTATTACACTTTTAGCAATACTAATAAAGCTTAACTCTATCATCCTGAAGCACTGGAATTACATTAAATATAAAGAAATGGCATCTCCCTAATTTTTCCAAGATATTAATAGTTATTTTAGAATGCATTCTCCAATTCTTCTTCTTGCACATATTGTTTTCTAGTTTCTCATGCTATAGCCAAATGCCAGGCATAAGCATACTGCACGCACATCCATATGCTATTTTTAGAAATAGCTATTTTTAGAAATTGTTTTGACATGAAACAAACACTCTTTCTATGCAAGAGAGGAATTCAATCATTGTATTAAAATTCTCCTTTACACTCTTTATCATTTGGATGACAGTAAAGCTTGTAGAATGATGTCCTCCACAATTAAGGCAAACATATACCAGACAACATTCAGGGTTTTATTCAGGAGGTTCTAAAATAGCTAAAATGTATTATTATTTTAAAAAATATTTAATGCCTTTCCTTACCTTAGAGGTATCTTCTCCTTCATCTTCATGGACTGAACTTGATGGTGAAGGAGTTGCAGACTTGCTTCCAGGTGGAGATGGAGAGTTGTGGGGAACATTGTTTCCACCCATATTCAAACCAAGCTGAGCACTGAGCTGTGACTGGTTAATGGTAGTCAGCTGCCCATGTGGTATTATTCCTGGTTGCCTAATATCTGCAGGTTGAACCCTCGGTCTCATGGCTGCCATCTGAGGATGGGAACTGTATTGAGCCCCTTCTGTATTCCGTAAATCTTGCATCTACAAAAGGAAAATTGGAAAGTAAACCATGAGTAAAATATTTTGTTTCCTTTGTACTTGAAGGAATCTCTGCTGACCTACCAGTTTGAATCAGAGTTATGAGAATAGTCAGTATAGATGGATCAAAAGTTATGATCTATTTCACAGAGATGGATTTGGGCTACAGGCTGTTGATTTAGATCCAAATTTCCCCCCAAATTCCAGAAACGACTAAGGCCAACATTTCTATTTCTTAAGCCAGTATCAAAAAATACTGTGATTTTTAAGATTCAGAATACTGACAAAAAGGAACTATCTAATGGCTTGATTAATTGACTTCTCAGCTAATTTGCAGCAACAATCATATATGAACCTGAACCTCTAAAGTTGCAAGGTTGATAAATTAATCCATTTTTCTACTTGGGTCACTGGTTTTTAGCAGTAATGAGACATAGTATTTTAATTCACACAACAAATGCAGTCTTTGCAAATATCAAAATTAAAAGCACTGGGCAATAAAGCTCTTTACTCATCCAGATGTCAAATGTACTGTACATGGGTGCTGTACAGGTTTGTCCGGTGCACTCAAATTCAGAGCTGGAGAAAAGACTTAAAGCAGAGAATAACTCAGTTTTAAGTTTAAGTGGTTTGGAGGTGATTTTAAATTGATGTGTCAATTCAAAGATGAAAACAGAATGGATATAGATATTCAAGTCTAACTGAACCATAAAAACACCTATACATAGTTGGTAGAATCTGACACAAATTGCCACTGTAACAATATAACTGCGATATCAAAATATGTTAATGGTCCACAATATTAATATAATTATGCTTATTTTACAACCTTTTTGGCCTCGTCATCAAAGATAGTATAACTGGTTAAAATCACTTAAGAAATTCAAGTGTACATTACAACCAAGGTATTTTCTCTGTCTTCCTCTCTCTTGCAACCAATGTTTACTGATCAATGAAATCTTTTTATAACAGTAAGTCACTGAATCAGAAATCAATATAATACAAGCATCTAATTGGATCTTTACTGTTCATTACAAAAAAAATTAAAGTCAAGATTTTTCAGCAGGTATATATTGAACTCATAAATGGATTCACAGTATTTTTAAGAAAGTGGATGGACTGGTCAATCATGCCAACAGATATACCGGAATCTGACATTAGCCACTTTAAGTTAATTTGATGCTCTAGAAGATATATGAACTATATTTTGACAAGATGACCTCTGGTTATAGCTGTCTTTGTACCACTTTATAAATTAGTACCTCTGGGAGAGAAATGTATATTAACATCTATAATTTAAGTTTATTCAATGACTACTAACACACTGAGTGAAAAAATAGTGCACAGCATTGACTGAGGCTCAGATTTGAATCCTGGAAAACATTTATATTGTTACACTATGTTAGTGACTTTTTGTTCTGTTCTTCCGAATACCAGCTTCCCTCCTAGTCAAACATATTAGCCTTGAAAGCTATCATTATCTCTGCCTCTAGCAGACAATCTATATCAAAACAGTTGTACACATAAAACTCTAACTACTTCTTGGCTGTATCTCTTCTGATCCAGCTGTTTCACTGAATAGCAGTTGGTGAACGGAGAACTAGAACATGGGTAGCCCTGAGGCCTTATTTGCTAATGTTACTCACCAGCTGCTGCTTTATATGGTGTTAGCAGGCAAGGGCTGGAAGTATGCCAGTTGCAGCAAGAACAAGGGAAAGTGAGGTATCTCTGAAGCCCTTCCATTTACCCCTGTCTATCATCATTTGACACTGAACATTGTTGAGTGCTATCCCCAGGGCTACTGAGAAACACTGCTGGAGTTAAACTGTGACTAGAGCTTACACTATCCCTTTTATATGCTTTTTTTTTTTTTTTTTTTTTTGGGAAACT